CACTCTTTTAGACACGCATTCTAGATAGCCTCAACATCGATTTTTGGGGCTATTTGTACAACACCTGTATTTTCATAACAAATCAACGTTCAGAGCCGAGACACTTTACATTTTGTAGAGAAATGTTTAATCTGCTGAATTATCTAGTTGTCATTTACGATTAGTTTGTAGCTTTATTGCAATAACTTTTCGAAAAAGAGCAAAACATGAAAGTCGTTAGCTGGAGAAGCCGTGATGTATTAAGTTAAAATGTAGAAATTGACCGTTGTACGGGCGATCTAACGATAGGAAATAATTTGCAGTAGAAATTCCAACATTTCTATTTAGAGATTTTAAGTTTTCCTATTTGGAGTTTCGTTTATGGATTGGTATATGGACGGCCGTTTTATTATTGGCGTTAGTTGTTTTCAATCTAAGTTTCCTTGTTCGATATATAACACGTTTCACTGAAGATTGTTTCGCTTCTCTCGTTGCCATTATTTTTATTATTGACGCCGTTCGTGAAACATTTGATATTCGTAAAAGATATCCGGTGAATTATCATCCAGATGTACCATTAGATTATAACTGTTCTTGTATATTTCCGTCTAATTCAGCTTACAATGATAGTGATGAGTTTAATAGAACAGAATGTGTAAAATTAGGTGGTTCACTCGTAGGCTCCGGCTGTTTAACACCAAAATATTATTCGGATATCTTCTTTTTTTCGGTTCTATTATTCTTTTTCACATTTATTATCTGTTTAACATTAAAAGAGTTTAGAAATACAAAATTTTTGCCAATGAAGGTATTGCATATGTAAGATGAAAGACAGCTACTCAATAATAGCTCGTTTTGTTTAGATTCGAACAACGATTAGTGACTTTGCCGTATTAATCGCTATTATTCTAATGTCCTGTTGGGATTTATATTTGGGTTTGGCGACACCCAAACTTGTCGTGCCATCGGAGTTTAAGGTAATATCAACTTATTCTTACTTTTGCTAAGCCCTTGAGCTTAACGCCATTTACTTAAGTTAAGTTTATCTCATGATATGACGAAATACGTTGCGTTGGTCCGTTCGTGTGCAAAGATTCAACCTGTTAAGGCTTCTTAATACCTATCGAATATTGCCCAGATACAAGAGAATGATCAAGATAGGTCAATTAATAACGCCTATCAAAAGAAACAACTATCATAGATAAGATTTGTCGTGATCGGTGTATAAATTGGTCTACTAGTAGACCCACTGATGCCGATCGATTCCAAGGGTAAAAATATTGACAAAAAGCGCATTTTTTTTTCGGTTTTAACGACTAAAAAACGCGTTAAAGGTTTCAAAATCAACGCTTTTTTTGTTGTTTAAACACGTTTTTTTATCTATTCGTTTGAAAAGGCGTTTTTCGATGAATGTGAAGTGAACGTCAATAAAAACGTTAATTAATGCGTTTTGAAATGATTCAAAAATAAAAACAGGAAGACACAGAGGTTTAAACCTTCAACTATTGTCCCTCTATTCTTTCACTTTTTCCATTCCGTCATATCCTATTGACATTAGATTAGCTGACAACAAACTAATGGCAAGCAGTAAAACTTAGCAGCTCTAAATAACGAAAAATTTCAATTTCAACAAAAAGTCGTTAGAAACGGCACGTTTTTTCTGAACGCAGAAGCGAACGATCGTTAAAAGAGCTGTTTAAGAGGTTTTTTTGTCTAGTAACAAATGCGTTATCCTAAAGTTTTGAACGACAAAACGCGCGTTTAAACGACTCTTTTAACGATAGTTGGTTAACGCGCTCGGGAAAAATGCGTTTTTCGTGTCGTTTCTAACGATTTTTTTCCGCCTGGGTGTATCGAAGCAAAATTTTCTGGACCAGCAGCAGCCGATCAGTTGGTCTATTGATCGGATTATCGATCCAGATTTCAGCTGATAATCATATTTAGAGGGCTATGGCGCGGCTAGTTATTCGGCAATGATATGAATCGGCATCAATCGAGCTAGCAATAAACCAATTTATAGGCCGATTAATGTGATCCATATCCATATGTTTCTATAACTGCGCCATACAGTATTCAGAACTCAACTAATGTTGGAAAATAACATACCAGATTGACAGATCAGCGTGGAACAAAATCGGGTGGCCTACTTTAACCTCATAGAATTCCATCTCCTTTTACTTTGGTATTGTATTTACAACTCAATTTCTCCAAATTTTCTTTTCATTCTCAATTCATTGAACGATGCTTAAGAGTACTTTAGAACAGAAACCTTTTCCCAGATAAACACACACTTCATTATTCTCTATCCTCTAGACGTCAATCTTTGTCTACGTTGTAGCCAACTCGCCCTCATGATCGTGGATGGATTGTTCCATTTTACACTGGTAAAAATCCATGGTGGACAATTCCATTAGCCATTTTGCCTGCACTTATCGGCACTATTCTTATTTTTATGGATCAACAAGTAACAGCCGTTATTATTAATCGCAAAGAATTTAAACTAAAGGTATTAGTAATCGAAATTTATACTTCCAGTTTAAAAGTACAAAAATATTTTAATTCTAGAAAAAATTAGGTTATCATTTGGACTTATTTGTATTAGCAATAACAATATTTATTTGTTCATTATTGGGTCTGCCGTGGTTTGTTGCTGCTACCGTTTTATCATTGACTCATGTTAATGCATTGAAAATTATTTCGGATAATACAGCACCTGGTGAAAGACCAAAATTTGAAGGAATTTTGTAAGCACAGTTTAATAGCTTTTCTTTTTTCATTGTTTAATACAAATCGTTTTTGTGTAGAGAACAACGTATCAGTTGTTTATTAATGTCAATTTTAATTGGTTTAAGTGTCTTCTTCACTAAAATTTTAAGAGTACGTATTACATGCTTTAGTTTTCAATTTCACATCATTAAAATCGGTATTCCAGTTTATTCCTATACCAGTACTGTATGGTGTATTTTTATTTATGGGTGTTATCGCGTTGCGTGGAATGCAAGTAAGAACTCAACTTTCATAAGACTAGAATACAATTATTCATTATAATCTAGGTTTTTGATCGTGTACTGATTTTCTTCATGCCAAGGTAAAGACTTCAGGAACTTTTCACTATCGTTTTTAAAAAAAAAATATTTTTGTTTATAAAAGCAAATATCAACCAGATCATCCATATTTACGTCATGTGACCATTTGGCGTGTTCATCTATTTACTGGTATTCAAATTTTGTCATTAGCCGGCATGTTTGTAGTTAAAAGTGTTAAAATGATTGCAATCGCTTTTCCACTACTGGTAATACATCGTTAACTGATCAAGATCTTTTTTTTTGGCAATTTTTAGTGATTTAATTAGGTACTTGCAACATGTTTTATTCGTAAATTAATGGATTATATTTTTACTCAAGAAGAACTCTATTGGTTAGATGATATTTTACCTGGACATAACGTTGGTCGTGTAAGACGAATGACAGTTGTGAGAAATGTTAATTTTTCAAAAGATAAAAATTGCAACGCCTTGATCACCACAAATGAAAAGGTATGTTCAATCGGTCAATCTGACAATAGAAAAAACACATAAAATGTACTTGTATTCGTAGAAACAAAATGAGAACGATGCTGGTTTAGTTGAAAATGGTTTGGCTAAAGTACGCCGTCTCAAAATGGTTGAAGAAGATGATTCTGGAGAAGCAACTTTGGTAACTATAAAGCTGGCGAATAGGGCGAACTCTACAAGTTCTAAAGCCAATATAAAAAAAGTTTCATTTATAAAACCTGTTTTAAATTACGCTTGTCGCTCTTTGACTTAATCAGTTTTCCATTTTAAACAATGACATGAAACATAATTCAAAAAATGAACAAGAACATATTAATAAATCGTAATCTAACAATATATTTTAAAAAAGGTACTTTTTATCAAAAAATTTGATGCCTTTTATTTTTTATTACTTGTAAAAGGCGTTTAGGTAGTTTATCTATCATTGACTTAGCATGTGTCTGGCGTTCTCCATTTCTCTTTCTCGAAACTGTTTTATCTTAGAATTATTGTTCTCCAATTTTTTCTACCGAGATATTTTCAACTGCCCATACGTCTATATGCTCTGCAAAACATGCCATCAGTAGATGTTATTCTTTCTTTAAAAAGGTTTTCAGCTGTTTCTATAGTAATAGACATCCTGTGCTTCGAATTTGCGTCATCCCGAAAAAATCACCTTCATTAACCCTTTCTTGCCCTTTGGTCCTTATAGGGACCATGTTATAAAAGTTTTATTTTTTTTGAACTAGAAGGCTTTTAACGAGGAATCTTATGTCACCTTTAAGAGTAACTATCGTGGACTGTATAACAAGAATCTAAATCTAATCTTTA